TAAATTTGCTCCATCTTTGGTCATATGTCAGGTCTTCTCTTTGCATTTCGGTCCCAGGATGTAATACATTAGGTTGTCTGGTAATTAAACGAGGGACGGCAGAGTCCTGCTCAAATAGGAATGTTAAGACAATCACCTCTTGACATAGTAAGATATATTTCAAATGTAGTAATCAGCTCTCCGATTGGGGAGAAGTAACATTTTCATTGTTGAGCCCTTTAAGACATTGCCCGCAGGGGAAGTAAAAGTGCCCCCGAGCTTCCTAACTTCTAATGGCTCTGTCGACTCCCAGAGATGCCGTTGCTGTATTTATGGAGTGAAGCCTCTTCACTCAGGAGCTGCTTGATAAAATACCTCACTATGTATTTCCCTGGAAGCATGCTCTCTGCTGTGCCAGCAGCATATGCTAAAGGCCAATTTAGATTGTTTTAAAGATGCACCCATCCCCTTCCTTCTCCAGCTACTAAAATGAAGTGTGTGTTGGCTTTAGCAAAGGAGGATGGAAGGAGAGGAGGAAGGAGACAGGAGGAAATGGCGAGGGGATGGTTGTGTTCCCGTTGCACTGGGTAGTGGGACCCAAGCTTCCGCTTGCATCTTTTTGTTGTTTGTCCTCTCTAGCTGTGAGTACCGATACCATGGGGTCATATGGTAGAGGAGGAAACCCGTGACATGAAAACCCATTCGCTGACAAAGACAGCCGGGTGCTGTCTATCTGCTCTAACAAAGAGTCACCAAAGGACAGGATTAAGTTAAGAACGCCACTGATAAGGAACCCCAGCACTCAAGGACTACGCGTTCCGTTTTTCAGTGACCCAGAGTGGAAAATAAAGTAGTTAGGAGAGATGTTATGGTTCAAGCGAAAGGATGTTGTAAAATGATATTTTAGTTTATGTCTCGGGAAGACGTTGAGGGCACATTATTGAGAACTAAATGAAAAGACAATGGCCATCTCTTGTCTACATTTGATCTGAGTTTTGAGATTCTAGTCCTGGTTCACTTCCACTGCACAGGTTAACTAAGGGAGGAGATATTAACAATGGTTGTGAATTAATAATCAAGACGACGTTTAGCAATATGACGGAACATCGCCGGGCAAATGCTTTGAGACACGTGCACTTCCCCGCATTGAGGGGCATGCTTCCCACCTCTCCTCCCTCCTTCTCTGCTCACATCGCCACAAGTTATCTTTAAAAGGTTCAGAATGTGCCTTTCCATTAACTTGTCAAGTGGCCTCCATCTTTCCCACCAAATTTACGAGTCACTCTGGGCATGGGTGATGATTACAGAGGCTTAATGTTTGTGCTGAGTTTTATTCTTAATAATAAAATGGAACTTTGGTACTATAGGTGACATCAATCCTCAAGCAGCCTATTGCCAGATTTTCATAGATGTATAAAATATATTTTGCCATAAAAGTGTACATGTTATTGTATGTTGTGTGGAACATTGATGTGACCGGCCATGTATTCCAGTGAGAAACAGGGACCATCTTTCTATGCATGTGAGATGTTTATCCAGCTTGGTCTTCTCCCCTTTGCTCATCACTCCTCCCTCTCTGCAATTGAATTCCAGTTAAGCTCAGTGTTTAGCTGTGGGTGTCTGCTTCTGTTTCCATCAACTACTAACTAGATGAAGGCTCTAGGATAGCATATAAGATAGCCATCAATCTCATTATCAGAGAAGGGCATTTAAGTTAGCCTCTCCACTATTGCTTAGATTGTTAGTTGGGGTCTTCCTGGTAGATCTCTAGACATTTCCCTAGTGCTAGATTTCTCTTTAAACCTATAATGGCTCCCTCTATTATGGTATCTCTTTTCTTGCTCTCCTCTATTCTTTCCCCGACTCAATCTCCCTGCCTCCTTATGCCTTCCTCTCCCATACTCTTCTCCCCTCCTCTTCCTTCTAACTCCCTCTTCCCTCCCCCATGCTCCCAATTTGCTCTGGAGATCTTGTCCCTTTCCTTTTCTCCGGGGGACCATGTATGTCTCTCTTAGGGTCCTCCTTGTTTCCTAGCTCTTCTGGTGGTGTGGATTATAGACTGGTGGTCCTTTGCTCTATGTCTCAAATCCATACATGAGTGAGTACATACCCTGTTTGTCTTTTTGTGACTGGGTTACCTCACTCAGGATGGTTTCTTTGCCCTCAAATTTCAAGATTCCAGTATTTTTTTTCTGCTGAATAGTACTCCATTGTGTAAATGTACCACATTTTCTCCATCCGTTCTTCAGTTGAGGGGCATTTAGGTTGCTTCCAGGTTCTGGCTATTATAAATAATACTGCTATGAACATAGTTGAACAGATGTCCTTGTAAGGATGTACATCTTTTTGGTATATTCCTAACAGTGGAATTGTTTTGAGTATTTCATAGTATATGTGTGTCGTATATGTAGAACACACAGAGATGCTTGCTATATCATTAAGTGGGAAAGAGAACTGAAACCTCACGGAGAAGGAGGATTGTCCCTCTGGGGAGTATGAAGCTGACCTGCGGACTTGATGCTAGCCATTAAATCTATTAGGGGATGTAAGTCAAGAGTGGTAGCTCTGGGGTCAGACTGCTTTGGTTTCAGCTTCCTTGAGCATTTTACTAGCTTTGAATACTGGCCACATCGCTTGACTCCATAATCTGTTTCTTTGTCTTTGAATGGATATAACAACAGTGAATGTTCTGTACTCAATAATATTGGTCATGCTTGTGTGTTCCTTCACAGTAAGGAGGCCATGACCACTCTGTACCCAGAAAGGGGGGTTGGTATAAAATTTGAATATCTAGTCCTATTTTTTCTTTCATACCTAAGCACATTATATAATACCTTTCATGGATTTCAGTTAATAAACAAATGTGCTAATAAAAGGTTTGAAACAAAACAAACAGGCCTATAATCCTATCACTTAAGAGATAGATACAAGATGTTTTGGAGCCCAAGGCCACTCTTGGCAACAAAACAAGTTCAATCATGGCCTCTGCTACATTACACCATGTCTAAAATCTCAAAAAAAAAAAAAACAAACAAACAAACAAACAAAGAAACAATGATCTGAAAAGTGAGTGATAGATTATCATCTTAAGCAGTTGATAGAATATTACTTGCTAGAACAATCACATCTTTAAAAGTTTAAATAGGCACCTCAGTAGTTCACTTACCCCACATGAGAGTACAGTATCACCAGAGAGATCACAGATCCCAGTGTTCAATGGGTTTCCAATTCCATTGCTACATTAAAATTTTAGCGACATAAACAGAGAAAAAACGGGGAAGATGAACTAAGCCTCAGGTTCCAATGAAAAGTGACAATGTAACTTTTTACTGTAGAATAAAAGAATTATAGAATGAAAGAACAGCAGAATTAATCCAGGTAACAACAGTTTTGTTTTTTTTTTTTTTAATTTGAGCACTTTCAAATGCTAGTCAGGCTAGCATGAGTGACACTTAGGGAAGGGAAAACTCCCCCCCTTGAATGTCTTTAAAATCTATAATAATAATATAATAGTATAAAGTGCATCTGGGCATCGCCTTCTGTTGCAGTTCTCATCTGGCTCTCATCCAAAACTGTCAGGCTACTCTTGAGTACTGGTGATTCATAGCCCGGCACCTTTTATCTCGACGTTTAGCGGCGGTGTTACCTTGATGTCCAGAAATCTTTCTTACATCTTGACACAAACCGTTGTCTGCAAGTGGTGAAGAAAAGGTAAACTGAGGACCATTGCAAACTCCAAAGAAGTAAATACCCGTGGCTCTGTAGGCATTGCTTGTATATCTGAGGCTCCTAACTGGACTGTGAATGTTCTGGTAACTTCCCCTTGTGTTCTGAGTCGGCCCTTTCCAGACTCAAGATACTCTTTCTAAGCTCCCTCGTCTGAGACTTGAGGAGCCATGGGAGGCAACCAAGATGGATTCTCATTGCTATCCTATGCGAAAGAAAATGGAGACCCTGGGTGGATTATGACTTCCACTCATCACATACCATTTTTAAAGCCAGGTCTACTCACTCAGTGAGGAGTTCCCCCGCTTTCTTTTTGAACAGCGGCGTGTCTCAGAAACAGAGACTATTTAGCATTGAGAATAAAAGAGGTTCCTTTCTTTCTGGGCTGAACAGGAGTCCCATGGTGCTGAGGGTCTCATTTATGCTTGGGTCCTACATTTTAAGAACTCACTGGGAAACCGGAAGACATGAGAAGGTTCTTAGAATGAGAAGGAGCCTGGGAACCGTCCCAGAGATAACCAAAGGAGTGGGGATTTTCATGTGCGGAGAAAGGAGGCTACAGACACAGCTGACGTCTCTGAATGGTTTATGAACTACCGTGTGGAAGAGGAATTAGATTCGCCCTTTGTAACTCCGGGAAGCAGCAGCAGGACCAGTGTGTGGAAATTACACAGAAGCAGATTTATGCTCAATATAGGAAGAAAGTCTCTAACATTTAGAGATGTCCAAAAATGGAATTGACCAGCTCATCATCCCTAGGAAGTGTTCGTGTGAGACTGACTGTCCGACTTGAGTATTATAGGCCTTTATGGGTGTTGTATTTCAGCAGTAACACGGTTTTATGGTGAACCTTTCAGAGGGCTTAGGGAAGAATTTCCTCACTGGCTAAAAACAAAGGTGTTTTTATGAGCTTTCCTGCCATGATTGTAGACCGGGAAGGATTTACCCATGATTCTTGCTTCTCACCACTGCATCCTGTGAAATATTTTTCAGCTAATTGGGGAAGATTTTAATTAATACAGAGAAGCTATAGTTTTATAGAGCTGAACCGACACAGGCTTGTGGTATTTGCTGTGTGTGTGTGTGTGTGTGTGTGTGTGTGAACATGCTCACACAGTGGCACCTGTGCACATGGATTTGTAACATTTCACATTAGGCTGTACATCATCATGTCATTCAGTAAGAACTTTTCATGCTAACTGCTTTAGCTCCAGAATTAATGACGTGTCCCACTGTGGACCCCAAGGAGAAACATGTTCTCTGTATGAATTATCCTTTCCTTCTGTTTCCGACAGATTCCAGAGGGGTGACTACCACATTGACGTCTGTATCAATGACTACCTGGACGTTTTCTGCCCTCACTATGAGGACTCCGTCCCAGAAGATAAGACTGAACGCTATGTCCTCTACATGGTGAACTTTGATGGCTACAGTGCCTGCGACCACACTTCCAAAGGCTTCAAGAGATGGGAATGTAACCGGCCTCACTCTCCAAATGGACCACTGAAGTTCTCAGAAAAATTCCAGCTCTTCACTCCCTTTTCCCTAGGATTTGAATTCAGGCCAGGCCGAGAGTATTTCTACATCTGTGAGTACATAGACATTTATTATGTTGTGGGGCAGCTGCAAAACACGGGCTCTTTTTTTCTTTCTTTCTTTTTTTAACCTGTGTTTTGCAGAATTGCAGAGATGGACTTTGCATTACAGATGTCTCCTTGTAAATGCGTACATCATGATCCCTAGATACATTAGCTGGGAATTGAGAGCCCAAATTAGATTAAAGACACGCCACTTCTTCCCCTATGAAATTGCGTGTCAGCCTGTTCAGTGAACCACTGCTGACTTGTATTTCTTTTAAATGAAAATTGCCAGGACTTTTTTCTTTCTTTCTTTCTTTCATTTATTTTTTTAAGCTTGGGGAAAGAAAAAAAAAAAGATTCCTGAAAAAAAATTAAAGGAAATAATTAAATTTACATAACTTGGAGTCATTGCATTTCTTATTCAGGTGTCAGCAATATCCTTTCAATCATCCACATTTTTTATCGGAGAAAGCCACAACTCCTGCAAATGTCAGCATGCTGACGATAAAGTACTTGCTTTGCACCGAGGAGGAGAGACAATTATTAGGAGCAGCTGTGTCTTTAGACCGGCAAGTGTGAGGGAGTATCTAGGAAGAGTCCTAGGGAACTGGTGATTCACCTGTGAGCATTGCGTGACTAGCCTGAGAGAATTCTGACTGTTCTCAGTGGACCTGCATTAGTCACAATGCCAGCTTTACTCCCCATCCCATCCGAAGCGGCATCGAGTGCTCAGGTGTCGGCATCGCATGCTCAGGTGTCATACTGTTACAGATTATTCCGAAACTCTTCTCAGACTTCACTATGCATGAGACACCCGAGGGTCTCCTTGTCATACAGATGTGGATGTGAGGTGGGTCCTAAGATTTTGCGTGCATCAAGTTCCCAAGTAGCGTTCACGTGGCTGGCCTATGGGCCACACACTGCGGAGCAGAGTTCTAGATGGTATCAGCTGTAGGCCTCTTGGTGCATAGCTGGACACGTTTACTGTGGAATATTCAGAGCCTAGCTGCTAGTCTCTAGTCTTTTCCATGTCCACTGTTGGCCGAAGATTGTGAACTCTTGTGTGCTCGCTCGTTCATGGTACTTTTATTGGGGAGCTCATGTTGGCCTTGAAATGTTGGAAGGTACAAGATGAAGGTGTTCAGTACTTTTTAGTGAGGGGCAGATTTGTAAAGAGGCAGTCCTTGGTAAGGACAGGGACTGAGTAGCGATGCATGCAAGGGCCAGCAGGGGTTGAGGCTTACCTGCATCAGGAATGAAGAGTGGTTGCTCCTGCTGTGGAAACCCACCTGATACCATCTGTATGCCTGGCATTTTTTTTTTCCCCCCACATCAGCTTGCCAGACAGACAAGACAGAGAACATTCCTGGTTCGGTGATTCAGTTCCCCTTCCCAATGTCTCCACCCACATCCTTCAGATCCACTGAGCTTCCTAGTTTCTGTCCTCCTTCAGAAAAGAGAGTTTTACAGCCAGTCAGATTTCACCATCGCCACGGCCCTCTCACTTATATTGGAATTGGATTTTAAAGAGGAAATTGAACAGTACCAGTTTTATTATTTCAGTACATACTTCTGTTGTTAGTCACGAGAAAAACATGTAAAAAAAAAAAAAAAAGCCTTGATACTATCTCGCATTCAGTCTGTAAAATAGGAAAGGGAAGATTGAGTCCCACAGATACAGGGAACACTGGCACCCAGTGACCCCTCACATCCTCAGGCAGGGCAGTCACAGCTCCAAAGGCTCCTTCTTGGTGAGAGAACCCTGGTCAGCTGGGGGGGGGGGCAGGAAAGGGGACGCATTCAGTGGTGGGGCAGCATTAATTTCATTAATCCCCCAACTGTAAGCTGCCGTATTATAAGGGGGAGATTATTACCAGAACTGATATCTTCTTGTTGACTCCTCAGATTTAAAAACTAACAAACGTGTAAACCAGAAACACAGAGATAACATCAAGATGGGAAACACTCAGTGGCTAACTAGTTGATTGCATGGTTATTAGAAATTATAGAATCCATTGAGGTTCATAAGCAAGATGTTATTCACATATACTGTAGTGCTTAGGACTGGGTTTTTCCTCATTTGTGGTTAAATTCAATATTTCACTAAAAATCATTATGTGTCTTCTATAACATTCATTTAACGGAGTCATTTAACTGTCAAGGGCTCCCGTCAAAGTAATTGTTCCAAAATGCTTCAAAATATCAAGAGCTTTTTGCTGTTCAGCTGAGTTTAACTTAAATTACTTTTTTTAATGAAAGGTAAAATAGCACAAAATTAAGCAGCAAAGCGATGTTCATTTACAAGAGGCACAGAGGCCTGGTGTTCAATTAAATGGAATTTTCAACCATGTTTCCAACCCCCAAAGGTGTCCCTCCCTGTCTTCTCTGCAGTGAAAGGCTTCTCCTGGCCGTCTCTGTTGGGAGCAGTGGCAGAGCTAACATGGGCGTCCCTGCACATTCAGGGTACTCTGCTCATAATTAAAGCTGGGATTCTTGGGAGAACTGACCCTCGGTTGAATTTCCCTTCTCCTAAGATGTGTGTAAGGGTCATCGTGATTGGGAAAGTTCTTCCTTCACACTTGTTACACCCATCTCAGAAACAACCTTAACAGCCCCGCAGTAGAAGTGAGAGAATGTTCTTTCAAGGACAAAGGGACCAAGTCTCCTAACATCTCTTTTCATGTCTCCAAAACCAGGAAGAGGGAGAAGGCCAAAGCCTACTATCTGTCCTGCTTCAGGCCTAAGCTCAGCTCTGAGGTAGGGGGCTGAAGGCTAGACCCAGAATTGGCAGTAAGGCAAGGCAGGTCTTTGATAACAGGGGTACCTAGACTCAGACAGTACACGGTCCAGAGAATTCTTATCAGCATCGCCTTCATCTTCTTTGCATTACATAAATCAGGAAAATGTAACGGTTGACTGTATCTCATGTGGATGTCTGATCTACCTTCAACATGAAGTGTCTTGCAATGTTCCAGCTCCTTTATTTGTCTCTAATGAGGACTTGTCAATGCCCCCCCGCCCCTTCTCTTGGGGACAGTCTGCAACTCAGAGTCGTGACACATTGGAACTGCTCCTGAGTCTGACCAACAGTTTTTAATCCCTTGATAAGAGAGTGGCATTGTAAAGTGGCTACAAAAAGGTCAATGGAGTTTCTATCCGTAGTAACAGATTCTCAGAACGGCCAGCCAGTTGATTAAGGTAATAGTCATTTATGTAGACTTTGTACTGGGCATGTTCAACCTGTTGCCCATAGCCTGAATACATCCTATGACAGCGATGGCTATGAATGTGGCCCTACACGTTAGAAGACCACAGCTTGGCGTCCCAGTGTCAACACTTTCTATAAGGAAATAGCAATTTTAGAAATTAAAGAGAACTAGCTTAAAAAATGTTTCTCAACAAACATTAACCTTTAGAGAACACATTTAGAAGAACTTTTTCTGCTCTCATATCTATACCAGAAAAGATAAATCACTAAAATAAGGACATTAAGTCCATATTTCTATTTGATTTGAAGGCAGCCTTTTGTATGTGTGTGTGTGTTGGGGGGGGGGGGATAAAAACAGTGATTGCCGAGCCCATCAGTTGCTATAATGAGCTGTTTGAACTCGAGTAAATCATCTAAGATCGTTGGAGCTCTAAGTCTACATTTGTAAAATGGTGTGGCTGAAGTGAGTGATTTCGGAAATCAGTCGAAACTCTAATACCCTCCTGCTACTAGTTTTTATCTGACGTCTACAGCTTCGATAACATCTGTGCAGGGGCCCAACATGGTGCTGAGCGGGCGACTGGGGGGGGGGTGGACTGCAAGACCATGCAGAGTGGAGAGTAGTGTTGAATCCTACTCTTATCCCCGCAGTCCGTGTCCTCTGATAGTTCCACAGGCTCCTCTGTGACGCCCCAGCCCTGTTTGGTCTTGTCTGAACCATGCCAGCTCCAGGGTTTTATTTCTCCTCCCCAACCATCTTCCCCTTGGGTCCTCCCCTCCTCCTGTTGCAGTGCATCCTGCTTCCTGCACTCTACCCTACTTCCTGTAGGTAGGCAGCACGCCCCAGTGTTGGGGCTTTGGTTCTTTAAAGTCTCCCCGCCTCACTCATGACCCTTGCTGTCACTCCCCGTAGAGGTGTGTTCATAAATGTCTTTATCACAAAGGCTAAATAAAAATATAAAAACAACACTTTTTTTTTTTTTTATCGCTCTCCACACTCTTACTGTCTCGTGCTATTATTTTTCCTCAGGCACTTATCACTCCTGACATTAAATATTTATGATTTATCCTTCCTAGATGTTTCTGCCCCGTGGCATGTTTTATACTGTTTGTCATGGAGAGCATGTTCAATAACTAGAAGTAAACACAACACACACCCTGTTTTGAGTACCGTTCTGAGCGCTTGGTCATTAAAACGGTACTGTGAGATAGTCTTTTTTGGCCTCTCTCCCTCTCTCTCTTTCTCTCTGGTGAATGAAGAAACAGAAGCAAAGGTTGGATAACATGAAAAAGGGTGCAGGGGCATCAGCTATGAAATAGTAGGAAAGATTCCATCTAAGTTCTTGTGTACTACAGAAGGAAGAGATGAATCGGTGAAGTACTTTCTAAACAAGTGTGAGGATGTGTGTTTCAGTCTTCGGCACCCTTGTGAACATTGGGTGGGTGTGGTGGCTTGCTTGTTTTCTGAGCACACAGAGAGCAGGGACATTTATGCATCCTCACCTCTTCAAAGGATGCTTTCTCATCTCCAGATGACATTATTAGCTCTGTCCCTCTAGGCAACTTCCAAAGCCAGAAGAGTTATGTTTTCTAAAGCAAAAACCTTACACTTGCTACATATACAGAGAGTGTCCAGATTGGATTATGATTGTCTCTGTGTCCCTGAATTAGCCAGTCTTTTTGTTTTGTTGTTATTGTTTCATTTGTTTGCTTTTTTTCTGGACAGGTTTTTCTCTGTGTGACAAGTGTGGCTGACCTGGAACTCACTCTGTAGACCAGGTTGACCTTGAACTCAGAGAT